TATCCTTGTAGCCTATTTATTTTATACATAGTAGTTTGTACTTCTTAATCCTTTACCTCTGTCTTGCCCTTCTCACCTCCTCTCTCCCAACTGGTAACCACTAATTCTCTGTATCTGTCAGTTTGCTTCTTTTTCATTATATTCACTAGTTTGTTATGTTTTTTAGATTCCACATATAAGTGATATACAGTATTTGTCTTTTTCTGTCTGATTTATTTCACTTAGCATAATGCACTCCAAGTCCATCCACATTCTTGCAAATGGCAAAGTTTCATTCTTTTTATGGCTGAGTAATATTACATTGTATGTGTATACCATATCTTCTTTATCCATTCATCTGTTGATGAACACTTAGGTTGTTTCCATATCTTGGCAATTGTAAATAATGCTGCTATCAACTTTGGGGTGCATTATCTTTTTGCACTAGTGTTTTGGATTTTTTGGATATGTACCCAGCAGTGAAATTGCTGGTTCACATGGTAGTTCTATTTTTAGCTTTTTGAGAAACCTCCATACTGTTTTCCACAGTGGCTGTACCAATTTACATTCCCACCAACAGCGTACAAGGGTTCCTTTTTCTCCACATTCTTGCCAGCATTTGTTATTTATGTTCTTTGTGATGATAGCCATTCTGACAGGTGTATGAACAATTTTATGTTAATGATTTTGAAAACTTAAATGCTCATTTTTCTTGAAAAGTAGATATTAAAACTAAAGAAGGAAAATCTAAATAAACCAGTGATTGTAGAAATGACTCTAAAATTTAAAGAGGCACATTAATAACCAAATGTAGCGTATGGGCCTTGTTTAGATCCTAATTCTAACAAACCAATAGTGCAAAACAAAAGATTATGAAATAATTGAAGAATTTGTTGGATATTTGATGATACTATGGAATTAGTTTTTAAGTTGTGGGGGTTTTTTTTGGACATAATGGTGGTTAATTTTTTTTTTCTAGGAGCTGCATACTACAGTATTCATGGGTTAAATATGACATGACATTTTGGATTTGCTTCAAAATAATTGATTGTTAGGGTGATGGAAAGTGAGTGTGAGTTACAGTATAGGTTACACTCTTCACTACCATAGCCACTAGCCATATGTGGCTATTTAAATTGAAATTAGTTAGAATTTAAAAAGATAAAAATTTCAGTTCCTCAGTCACACTGGCATATTTTCACATTAGTAGTGCACATACAGAAAGTGTCTGTCATGTGAAAGTTGTATTGGGTGGAGCAGTTATAGATGAAACAAGATTGGCTATGTGTTGATAATTTTTGAAACTGAATGATAGAGTCCATTTTATTATTCTCTCTACATTGATATACATTTGATGTTTCCATGAAAGCAAAAAACAGAAAAAACATGCATAACCGTTGTGAAGAAAATGACAAAAAATCTAAAAGAATACTTACAGATATACTGTTCATGAATGGAAGGCCTCTATGATATCAGTTCTCCTTACATTAATCTGTAAATTCAGTTCAGTTCTACTGAAAGTTCCAGTAGCCAAGACAGTCCCGAAAAGAATGGGAGCAGGGGTGCTCACTCTAGAAGCTATCAAGGCTTGTTTTAAAAGTATGTAAATTAAGAAAGATGTTATATCATTGATGCAAATGTATCAGTAGAACAAAACTCTCCAGAAATGGACCCTAGATAGATTAGACCTTCGTGTAGGAAGGAGTCATTTCTAATCAACGGGGAAACTGTGGTTTAGTAATAAATGTCTTGGGATATTTGCTTTTAAGAGTTGGTTTGATGATTTGACCAGGATCATTTGATGTTCCTGGGTTTTAGGTGTTTGTGGTGCTTCAAAGTCAAATGTGCATTAGGCAGTTGATTCTATGTGTCTGAAGCTCAGCACAGAGAGACTTGAGGTAGTTATCGGGATTACAGGTAAAGCTTTGTGATGAAAACACTGATATGACTCAGCCAGAGAATGTAGCATGAAGGAAAAATAGGACCACAGGTAGAACCCACTGGAACACTTATATTTAAGGGCTGGGTGGAGGCAGCAGAGCCAGCTCCAAGCTTAGTAGGGGCAGGGAGTTGTGCTGCATTTTTCACATCTCAAGTTTCTGTCCCTGACAGGTGATTGGTGCTCAGTAAATGTTTGTTGAATGAGTAAGGGAATGAAGTAGCCAGAAATGGAAAAGTAGCTAGAGGAAAAAGTAGGGCGTAGTCAGATGCTTCAGACAAAGAAAGGAAGATGGTGACTGAATAGTGGACTTAGCAACGAAGATGTCACTCACTGGTAACCTTAGGGAGGGCTGTTTCTTTGTTGGAGGAAGTCACCCTGGGGAAAGAATCTCAGGGAGGGTGAGAGAACAGGCAGTAAGTGGAGGGCACTTGGATAGAGGGAGAGTTCTGGGGTTTTTTCCCAATCATTTGTTTTTTATTTTTATGTTTTGATGGGAGAACAGTGGACTTCTAGTATTTAGGGAGGAGGAGTAGAAACAGCTGAAAGAGAGGAAGTGCGTGAAGATGAAGAAGGCAGACGCAGATAATGAATCAAGGTCCCCATGGAAGTGTAAGGGTGGGGTCTAGAACACAAACAGTACATTTCCCTTTGAGAAAGAAGTGAGACCTTTCCCTCAGTAACAGGAAAGAGCAATGCAGGTAAAAATCCACTTGGAATCTGGAAAAGGTGATGCAGATAAAGATATGTATGTCGGCCAGGGTGGATTTCCTGTGGAGTTAGGAAACTTAGGCTTGAGAGTACCTTACTTACACGGGCCCCTTCAAGTGCTGGGAGTTACTCGGAGTTGTAACGTCCTCGAGAGGGAGGGAACACCAGAGTGTAATCCTGATGCATTTCTATGTAAGCATTTCTGACAAACTGCCCAATGAATCTCAAAAGAAAGGCATTAAAATTTCTAAGACTCCAGTTATTTATTGAATCTTTTCTCATTCTAAATCACTTTCATTTTAGTACCTAATCTGATGTTTGTGATTTTGTGGGGTTTTTTAAAGCACCTCCTTCCCACACACACCATTTGAATAAATGTTGATTTCCTCCATACCTGGATTGATCCCTGCCTGTAGCTATGGAGGCAGAAACTGAGGGAGTTTATAGTCTTAATTTTTTGAGTGAAATAAGAGACAAGATCGTTTGAGAGGGATGGAGGTAGGGTAGGATGCTTGGCAGAGTACGTGGATTGTTTAGAGCAGTCATTGTGGGGATGAGAAGAGAACTGATTAGGGGCAGCAAAAATCATTCCGAGAGCCCACTCGCAGTTTGTCTTTTATCCCCCCACTTTGGGTGTCCAAGTGTAGGCACAGAGAAAGCACGTGTTTCGGGTTAGTGCTGCAGGATAGTGGAAAGAGGAGGACTCTAGTATGTTGACGGAGCAGGCAGAGAGAGATTGAAGTGATGCCCCTGGAGTTGGGGCTGGGCGGGGAAGGACATACCACCATGGGATGGCTGCTCCCTCCTGGGAAAGCAAGGATGAGCACTGGAAACAGTCAAGATACCGAGAGAGTTGAAAGTTAAGAGAATTTGAAATGGAGACGTTTATTCTCCACGGGAAAAGCTGAAAGGGCCAGTGATGTCATCTGAGGAAATCTGGAGTGAAGTAAGATGAGGAAGTAAATTTCCAGTGTACTCGGATTTATACCCAGGGCTTGGTGGGAGGGAAACCTGCAGAGGGGTGGTGTGTTTAAGTTAATATGGTGAAGGTTTTTAGGCCAGGGAAGTAATAGTAAACAATATTTGTATAATGTTTTACAGTTGGCCGCTCTTCATAGGTATCAGGATTGAAGGGAGCATAGATATTTTTGCTCTGCATTTTTGTTTCAGTCAGAAGTTTTCATGTAGTAAACTGAAATGCAGATCTATACATGAACTCTTAAAGTAGTTTACACTGCATTCTGCCCTGGTTTTATAAGACCCTACTTCTTTGCTGTCTTTACAAAATTTTTACCGTTATCCTTATGTCTCTGAGAGAAGTAGCAGCAACCCTTTAAACAAGTGAGAAAGTAAGAAATAATGACCTTTAAAGCAGTGACCTCTTGTAAGTTTACCTGTTGCCTAAACTAGTTTGTCTGGTCAACAGTTGATATACTAGAATCGTAAGAAAAAATCTTAAACGTTTTTATTTTGGGTTATGGTTAATAGATGTTTCTAACACATATACATGGAGCAATCTCCCCCCTAATCCCTGTAAAGCTGCCAGAAGTTTTTTTAATGTTGAACCAAAGGACTGTTTCTCACATGAGATCCTTAAGACACCTTCTTTCTTTTCCCTTATTGCAAAAGAAAAAAGAAGGAAAAAATGTCTCATCCAAAGACAATCTGGTATGATTCTAGAATACTGAGTTGTTCTAGACACATTGCATCATATTTAGATCATCTTTGCTCAGTTGATGAAACAGTTGAGCGACGGGCTAGTGATGAAATAGTTAAACAACATCTCTCTTTGACAGGATGCCAACAAGTAACAATTAAATTTCAAAGATTTTAAACCAGGTTGGGTACCATCCTGAAGGAGCTGGAGAAAAGCTAAACACTTGCATAGGTCCTAAGTGTATCTTCTGTTCGGAGCTGCTTTTCATTTCTGTAGGGCCTTCAGTCACCAAAGATAAATATAAATACCTATCTATATGCATATATATTTTAAAAATTTGACACAACATTGTAAAATGATTATAAATCAATGAAAAAGTTAAAAAAAAGAAAGACCCCCCCAAAAAGACATTAAAAATTTTAATTCCTATGTTGATATTCTGATTAATAATCTCTTCCTGTTTCCTACTGATCAGTGTTCACAATTGGACACAGTTTGAAGAAGAATAATCAAGGTACTAGCAAAATACTGTTCTAATATGTTTGCTTTAAATTTTTAAGAGAGGGAAAAATGTTTTTAATTGAAAAGTTTTTTCCAGGTCTTGAAAAATCTAACTCTATGGACAATCTACTGTGATTGTGACATGTTCTTATAGTTAAAGGAAATGTTTTTAATTAGGTGCTAAATTGAATTTGTTATGATTGTTCTATTTAGACGCAGAATGTCCCTGGCTGCTTACTGTGTCATCTGCTGCAGAAGAATGGGAACCTCAACTTCTCCGCCAAAAAACAACACGTACTGGAGAGATATCAGTGAGTACAGTTTAAACAGCAACATTTTCTTGCAGAAACAGTGATAGAATTGTGGGTAAGTTTCCAGGGTGGTCCACAAAAACATACAACCCGTAATAAATCTCAGATTTTTTTTGTCTTTTCTATACTAATAGGTTCACCACAGATCTGTAGGCTCAGAGCCATGCATGCTCCTTTTTCTTAAGAATCTTTTCCCTCCCCTGTGTTTCCCATCAGATTCATACTTATCCGTCCAAAGTCAACTTAAGGACCACTGCATGTTCATTCAGCAGCTATTTATTAAGCTCCTATAAAATACGGAGCCAAGCACATGTGTTAGGTGCTGGGAATTCAGTGGTGAGCCAGGAAGATGTTTTGCTTGACTTACAGGAACTTAGGATCTAGCACTAATCTACTACATTCATTTGTAAAATTTTATTTATATTATTTGTTACTAATCTTTATTTGTAAAATGAGAATATTGGCCTGGGTCATGTGCCAGCTACTATTACTAGGCCCTGAGGATACAGTATTGAATAAGACAAAGTCTCTGTCCCCATGGAGCTTCTTTTTGATCTTTAAGAGAGATCAGTTTTTAGGATAGATTATTTTCATTTAGAAAATTCTGTAATTTTGTATTTTAAAAATAGAAAAGAAAAGTGGGGACAAAAAGGAAGCTTTTCTAATCATCATTTCTAGCAGAACAAACTCCATAGTAGTGAATATACTTCAGGGTAGGAGAAAAGGCCTTGAGTCTGTATTCTATTCTCAGGGCCCAGTAAAAAAGAAACATCTTTATAAGAAGAAATAGGTGGTAGCAGTGTAGGAGGAAACAAAATGTCCCAGAGGGATTTCACAATCAGGAGGCCCTGTGTGTCACAACTTCTTACCTCATCCCTGCAGACTTTCTAGAGCTGTCCTCTTTTCTCTTCTGGAACCACTAGGTCCTAGAGTTTGGAAGGAATGTCTGTCTCCTTTGGCTAATGCATAGGGAAGTCAGTGGAGGAAAGTTCCTCATCCCTCAGTAGGGAGGAGAAATGTGTTCTTGGAAGCATAAATTGAAACTCTGAACAAAGGGCTACCTCTATACATCCAATAAATTATAGGTTACATAGATTTTTATGGAGTGCCCTGAGTACCTAACCATCATGGGTAATATATTAGTTAAGATTGTGTTCAGTGCATGTAACGGAAACTTGACTATAATGGCTGAAATTAGTAAGTTTTTCATTTTTCTTACATAACAGTTTAGGGCAGGAATTGCAGTTTAGCAATTCTCCTGTCTTCCTGCTCTTATTATCTTTACTGTTCTCTTGGTCACAAGATGGTTGCTGAATCCGAGGATGTCAAGAATGCAGAAAGGCCAAAAATCATGTTATGAAGCTTTGTCTTTTTATTTGGGAAGGGATCTCTCCCTATACATTTCCATCTATATCCAAATATCTATATAGATATATTACATTTATATGTATATTGGCTACAACTGTGTTGCACAGACAGCACTGGCTGCAGAGGAGTCTGGGAATTTTAATAATTTTAGATAATAGTCAGGTTGTGTTAGTAAAATTTAAGGGTCTTATGTGTATTGGATAGGCAACTAGCTGTGTCTGGCACCAGGAATTTTTTTTTAATACTAAAAAAAAGGTTTTCCAAGTTCCAAACAAAAAAATTTATAAATAAACTTGTAGAATATAATCTATGTTTTAAATAGGACTACCTATATATGGCATTTAAGCACCAATTATAACATAATTACTTTGGGAAGAATCATTTTGTATCCCTAGTTCACAAACCTGATCCCTTAATACGGTCTTAGGTAGTGATAGGGATAATTCTCCCTATTCCTTCATTTAATTGGTTGTGAACTACTGAAAACTCAGAGGGGAAGTTAGCCCTTTGGACATTAGATTCAGTGGAAGCACTATAGGCCTGGCAATATCGTAGTGCAGCAAAACAAGGGTGTCTTACTGATTTGATGGGGGATGGCAGAATAAGAGGTAGAAGTGGGTAATAAGTATGAAATGAGAATGAGTATGAAATACAGATTGTGTTATTTTACTCAGTGTTTATTGGTTCATTTGTATCTGAAGGTAGTAAGCCATGTGTTAATAGCAAATGATTATATTAATGGAAAAATACCAAGAACTTGTAATCCAGTTATGTATAACATAGGTAGAGACTTACACTATTGCCTATTTCTTATCATATTTTGAAAATAAAACTCATTGAGTTAACTTTTTTCCTTTCTTTTTGAAGGAAATATAATAAAGTTTACTGGATCACTTATTTTAGGGTAAGTGTCAATCGTGAAATATTAATTGGGTTCATATACTATTGTTTGAAATCTAAATGGAAGTGATTTATAGGTAGCATGGGATAGTGAAAGGGTATAGGGTTTGGAATCTATAAACGTGTGGATTTGTCACTGCTTCATCACTGGTTCTGCCACTTCAGTGTTGTCTTGATCCAGTTACTTCAGCTCCTGAGGAGTGTTTTCTCTTGGGTCCAAGTATATGATGGGGATCCTACCCACCTGGCACTGTTGCTCTGAGGAAAGCACTTGGCATGTACAGAGTGGGCACTCACTAATTAGCTCTCACGCAAGTAAAATCACTTTGTATGTTAGGTTATAGAAAAGGTGAAGAAGGTAAAAATCGACTGTAGTTAAAATTATTTTTGAAAATCCTCTAAATCACCATAAAGTTCTTATGAAAGGAATTGAGGTTGACTGAGAAAACCAATAGATTAACGTCTTGCATCTCATCCTGTTTCAGAGGCACATGCTTAATGAATGGAGTGACTTTCTGAAAATTGCTATTTTCCATTCTCTTTTCTTTCCTTTTTTTTCTTGGCGAGGGGGATATGTATGTTAAGTGTATGTCTAATGCTGCTCTAGTGTTTTTGTTAATATTCTTTTTCATTAGTATAAATATAAAATCAACTCTTAGGTGCTAAAATGATAAATGAGATATAATTGGCATTTTATCTAAACATGTACATTTCTCCATGACATTATAAGTTAAGGCAAAACACATTTAGATAATTTTTTTCTTTGACTCATTCCAGGCAAAAGATAAATATATATTCTTTTCTATAATTCAATTTCTTTGTTTATATCATAATTATATTCAGGAATATAGTGAAAATTAGTCACAATTTCTAGTAAAGAATTTTGTCTTTCATAGAAAGCGTGATAAAAATACTGAATAGATTTGTTCTTTTTGGCTGCTCAGATAGATCCCCAAGAAAGGAGAGGATTCTTGAGAGCTTTCTTTCCATTCTGTTGGTGCTGGCCAGTGTCTGGCCTTTCTGTTGTACTTGCTTTTGCTTCAGGGTGGGAAGCTCAGGATCAGGGTTAATACAACTGTTGTTTCTAAGCTCTGAATCCAGACAGAGTGCAGCCTTTGTGTTGGAACTTAGGAAGTGTGTAGGTCAATTTGATTAGGAGGAAAAAAACCCTGCATTTTGGGGTATACAACAAACAACGTATTTCACATTTAAAATTTGATTTTAGGTATAACTATTAGAAGAGGAGAAATTTTCATATGCTGGTGATAGGAGTAAAGATTAGCCAATCCTTTTGAAAAAACAGTTTGGCATTCATTATCTAGTAAAATTGAACAATATACATACTATCAGAAAGGCTGTAATATTCTGGATATGTACCCTAGAGGAACATACACATATGTATACAGTGTAGATATATAAGATGTGTAACAGCATTATTTGTAATAGACTCAAACTAGAAATCCTCTAAATGCCCATCTAAAACAGATAAATCTAGAACAGATAAATAAATCATAGTATAACCATGCAATGTATGAATCACATACCATATGAAAATATAAACATATGAACTTCAGATACATGCTACAACATGTATCTGACAAACAACATGAATCTCACAAACAGAAGGCTGAACAAAAGAATACATACAGTGTGATTCCATTCCTGTGAAATTCACTGACAGACATATCTAAGCTCTGTTGTTCAGAGGTGCATGTTAAGGTGGTAAACTATAAAGAAAAGCAAGGATGACATTATAATAAGAATCAGAATAATAATCAGCTATAGAGATGAAACTGGGTCACGATCAGGCAGAGACACACTTGAGCTTCTGGGGGACTGTTACTATTTTGTTTTTTGCCTGGATATCATAATGCAGGTATTTATTACTATTTGCTAAGCTGAAATACGTGTATACATTTATACATATATATATATAATATATGTTATATGTGTATTACTGTATATATATTATGTTTTCCAATATAAAAGAAAGAAAAGTTTCTACGAAAAGTTTAATTAAAAAAGTGTGGCTCCTCTGTTATATTTAGATCACATATTTATAATGAATTTTTTGTTTCTTTTTAAGAGGTTCTTTATTTATTACATATGAAGTTCTGGCCCTGAAGAAGTCTTTGACATTAGATACTCAAGTGGTAGAAAGAGAGAAAATGAAGTCATATATATATGTGCACACAGTTTCTTTAGATAAAAGAGAAAATCCTGGTAAGTTTATGGTAAAGTAATACCATCTTTGTGAAAAATGGAAGCTAGTTATTGAATTTAAAAATGAGTATTTAGAAATGTAAATTGATGTATCCACTATGGAAAACATTGTAGAGCTGCTCAAAAAATTAAAAATAGAACCATCATATGATCCAACAATTCCACCTTGAGTATTTATCTGAAGAAAATTCTGGGAGATGTATGCACCCCTCTATTCACTGCAGCGTTATTTATAATAGCCAAGACATAAAAGCAATGTAAGTGTCCATCAATAGATGAATGGATAAAGAAGATGAGGTGTGTGCGTGCGTGTGTGTATACACACATGCTGAAATATTACTCAGCTGTGAAAAAGAATGAAACCTTGCCATTTGCAACAACATGAATAGACCCAGAGGGTATCATGCTAAGTGAAATAAATCAGATAGAGAAAGACAAATACTGTATGATTTCTCCTATATGTGGAATCTAAAAAATAAAACATGACCAAACATAACAAAACAGAAATAGAATCATTTTTATGAAGAACAAACAGGTGGTTGCCAGAGAGACGGGAGTAGGGGGAGGAGAGAAATGAATTAGCGAGATTAAGAGGCGCAGAGTTTTGGTTACAAAATAAATAGGTCACAGGTCTGAAGTGTACAGCGTGGGAATATGGTCAGTAATTATGCAACACCTTTGTGTGGTGACAGACACATGATAACTGGACTTATCGTGGTGATCATTTTGAAATGTAGAGAAATTTGGAGTCGCTATGTTGTGTACCAGGAACTAACACAGTATTGTAGGTCAATTATACTTCAAAAACAAACAAGCATACTAACAAACTCATAAAAAAAAAGTCAAGATTTGTGGTTACCAGAGGCAGGGGTGAGTTACAAGGAGGGAGAATTCATTGGATGAAGGTGGTCAAAAGGTACAAACTTTCAGATATAAGATAAATAAGTACTAGGGATGTAATGTACAACATTAATAAATATAATTATCAACATAATATAATTAATGCTGCTGTTACGTTATACATGAAAGTTGTTGAGGGAGTTAATCAGAGTTCTCACCTGTTTCTGTAATTTTGTATCTATATGAGATGATGGATGCTCACTAAACTTATTGTGGCCATCATTTCATGATGTGTGTAAGTCAAATTATTATGCTGTACACCTTAAACTTACAGAGTGCTGTATGTCAGTTATATCGCAATGAAACTGGAAGAAAAAACCTTTTAAAAATAAAAATAAATATTTAAAACACAATATTAATAAAATAGGTTCAGTTTACTCTAAGAATTACCAAACCCTGTGAGAACCAAGTTCCTAAAGAATCAATTGAAGATCAAATTTTGGACTTTCACATTTAACCCAAATTTGGAGTTCTATAACTAAGTCAGGTGAAGACCAACTAGCTATTTTAGTCTACATTTGGACTTCCACATTTTCATGAGGGCTGTCAGTTTGGAAGGCTGGTCTTCAGTTTAGGAAGCATAAAAACATGATTTTGTCACTTAGCTCAGAGATATTTTTCCTCTGAGGGATTTATTTATGCCACTAAACTCATGAGATGGATTCATAAATATGAATACCACCGTATTTACAGAGGGAAAAATATCTGTTGTAAAAGCTGGAAAACCTGTCTTTACTTATCAGAACATTCGGTCACATGGAAACCTAATTAGTAATCAGACAATTGCTTGGTGAACATGAAATTTTAGAGCAGAGGAGTATCTTTTCATCAGGATACAGGTATCCTGGTGAGTCATCACACTAGGTTTACAGCTGCCTTCTCCTGCATTGTCAGCCACGTAACGACGCCTGTGAGCACGTGTTCCCTGAGTGGGGCAGGTTCTGCTGCTCCCCTGTCTACGAGCTCCCTCCTCCTGGTATTTATTGTTATTTCACCTTCCTGTATCTCCACATACTTTTGTGGTGTGTTACAGTTTCAGTTACACAGATAATTTTTATAGCTTAAGATTTACCCATATAGTAAAGCTTAATGTCGTTAGTTAGTATAGTATCTCCAAATTTCACTTGAGAGGGATATTTTTAAGTGACATTTTCTTGAATGTAGTTAATCTTATGTTGTATATGGGGATTTTTGTTAGCTTTAGCTAGTGTTTTTGCCTTTGTTTTGTTTTTACTTTTTCCCTGACTAGGAAAGCAGTCTTACTTTGGGATCTAGAGTTATGTGTTCCCATAGTGGTTTGGTTGGTTTGATAGAAACAATAAAGATAATAAAATAATGACAATAAAAAAGAAAGATGCTGTTTTATATTTTCTTTTTGAAAAAATTGGAGTTTATATATTTCTCTTTGAAGTATTGGAGCATAGCATTAAGAGTATGTACTTGGTTTTATTTAAGTTTGTAATCATTTTAGGAATCACCTACCAGGCAAGAAAAGAGCTTCACAAAGCAGTAAGAAAAGTATTGGCAACATCAGCCAGGATGTTACGGGGCCCATTTGCTGGTAAGCATCACATATTTAACTTGGATAGTGATCTGAAAGACATTTGATGATCAACCTGAGATTTTTTTTTTCCATTTCTTATACTAACATTTATTATAGCTGTGGAAAATTGAGTAAAAATATACTCTGGACATATTTAATTTTAGGGATTGATATCTTGGACAGTTTCTATCTTTGTGGATACACAAATGTTAGATAGTTGTAAATAAATATTGAGACTAAATATACCCTCTTGATGAATATTTCAAAATTTAAAATTTGTTAGAAAATCATTCCTGTGCTTTCTCATAATAAGAATACTGCATCACAAATGTAGATTTCATAATCAGGCAAATCTACATTGTGAGCAGGTTATAAAAGAGCTGATCTGATCTCTTTAAAAAGTTGGCATCATGAAAAAGAAAAGGTGGAAAAACTTTCTAGAATTAAAGTACTACAAAGACTTAATCAAGTCATGGCTTTAAAAAAGACAGCTCTAAAGATAACTTGGGGGACAATTGGAGAACATTGAATATGGAGTTAGATTGGATTTTGGATGATTTGGAAGTTTTTTTTAGTATTGTTGGGTGTTATAATGGCTTTGTGATTATACAGAAGAAGTACAGGCTTTTTCTTAAGAGATGCATATTGAACTGTGAAAGGGTGAAATGTTATTGTTTCTGCAACTTTCATATAGCTTAGAAAAAAGTATACACGTAACTACATAGATGAAGCAAATGTAGCAAAATAATAACACTTTTTAATTTTAGTTGTGATAAGCATGTGAATTTTAATGTATTATTCTCATAATCTTTCTGTATGTTTGCTATTTCTCATGATAAAAAGTTCTTTGGGGAAAAGGAGCCAAAAAAAACCAAAAAAAGACTGCAGTGTGAAAGCAACATAATATATAAAACAAAAGCACACGCATAATATGCTTAATAAATAAGATAATATGACAGAAGTGAGAACAAATCTATTACTTATTATCAGCACGTAGAAATGGATTTAACTTTCCTAGGGTAGGTTTCAAATATTTATTACCATCTTAAATGTGAGGATGAAAATACTGTTTTAACTATTCACATTGTCTTTTTTCCTTTTCTTTTTGCAAAGACACTTTTAGCACAGTTGACGTAGAAGATCATGAGTGTGCTGTGTGGCTGCTCCTGAGGAAGAGCAGGTCCGAGGACAGAGCCGCGCGACTGCAGGCTGTGCAGGAGATGTCAGAGACCCACCACTGGCAAGGTAACAAGGCTGAGGCCCTCTGAACATAGTCCGCCTTTGCCTTCTGCTGTTAAAGAGAAGGGAAGGAGATATTAAGGAAGGAAAATAATTCAGGAAATATTAATATATGTAAAAAAATTTTCAAAACATTTAAAAGAAATGCCAGTGATAAAGTATTTCTTTTTTTTTTTTTTTTTTTTTTGGCCGGGGGTAGGTAATTAGGTTTAATTTTTGGAGGAGGTACTGGGGATTGAACCCAGGACCTCGTGCATGCTAACCATGCACTCAACCACTTGAGCTATACCTTCCCCTCTGCCAGTGATAAAGTATAAAACCTGCTGGCCTGGTATCCAGATATGTTTGGTTAAAAACACTCTTGAAACAAAACTAGATATGTTTGTATAACTTTCTGCCAGAATGAACTTTTACTTGATTAGAGAAACACTTTTTCTTTTAATTGAAGTATAGTCAGTTTACAATGTTGTGTCAATTTCTGGTGCACAGCATAATAATTCAGTCATACTTATGTATACACATATTTGTTTTCATAATCTTTTTCATTATAGATTACTATAAGATACTGAAAATAGTTCCCTGTGCTGTACAGTATAAGCTTGTTATTTGTGATTAGAGAAACTCTTGATTCTGATCATTATGGCCTAATGTTGTGTTTGCATTTTCTTTTGATTCCTGTTTAATGAAAAATATTTTATTTTCTGGCTGCACCAAAGTTATATTTGCTTTCACTTTTACAATCTATTTGGCACTAATACTAATAGTCAAATGTCTCTCATTTGTGTGTATATATTGTTTTTTAAGGAAGATTTAAAATATTTAATTGTATTTAAAATCACAAGTTGTACAGTAAAAGTACATGAGCAAGAGCTCAAATCTGCTCTGAGTACAGGGACTAAAGTACACTCTGTCAGTAGAGTCATCTTATAAAAATGGGTAAACAAATGAAAAAGAATAACGTTTTCAAAGAAAAGTTTAGTCTCAGAATAAGATCTCTGTCTCCATAGCAGTTAATTTGATTGATTGGTGGCTATAATTATAACTTACAATGTAAAAATAAGCCTACCTAATGTGAGTGGAGACTTAGAATAAAAATCTGTTTTAAAATCTGCCTTCCAGGACTGCATTTCAGACTTTCATTGTGTCATAAAAATCAAAGGTGGAGCCCTGGTACGTAGATTTTGAAAAAGTTCCCCACTTGACTCTTGAAGAACTCACCCAAGTTACAAAGTGCCATTATTAAAAATGTCTCCTTCAGTGGTTACAGTTTTGTTTTTGATACGTCTTAGTCCATTTGGGCTGCTGTAACAAGATACCTAGACATGGTTTATTTCTCACAGTTTCTGGAGGCTAGGAATCTCAGCAGGTTTGGTGTCTGGTGAGGACTTGCTTTCTGGTTCATAGATGGAGAGAGCTCTCTGGGGTCTTTTTAATAAGGGCACTAATTCCAATCATGAGGGCTCCACCATCTCAACCTAATCACCTCACAGAGGCCCTGTCTCCATATAAATACGATGACATTGGGGATTAGATTTCAATACATAAATTTGGGAGGGACACAGTTTATAGCAATATATAAATCAGGAAGGCTAAAACAAGAGTACCACCATCTGGAACCTCAGATTATTCATGAACATCACTGAATGCCAAAGCACCATACTGTTACCAGGCGACAATAGATCTAAACACAACCTCAGGTTTTTTGAGTAGTGATCGAAACAGCTTTTGAATGCTGGAATTATTTTGTTTAAGGAGAAGAAATTAAATTGGTTCTGACCTATCAGTTCACATATTTGAGGTTTTTTTTTTTTCAAAAAGGTTAGATTGTGATATACCTAGCTAAATATATGTTGAGAATTTATAAGTTCAGTCATGGAAGTGTTGGATAGCTAACTTAATTGGTATTGTAAATGCAGTTGTAGTTATGAAAAAAATGGGAAATTCTGAATTACAAACTTGTAGTTTAAAAATTAAGTTGTTCATTTAATCTTTAAAACAACATAGTTAATTTGGGTACTAACAATATACTTTTACAATAGATTACCAGTATAGGATAATCGCTCAAGCCTGTGATCTGAGAACTCTTACTGGTTTGGCACGAAGCAAAGAGAGTGATCTTCGTTTTTTTCTCCGCCCGCCTCCTTTGCCATCTTTAAAAGAAGTAAGTAAAATAATCCAGTAAGTGAAAGTAGTTTAGTATATCATCTTCACTTTGGGTACAAAATAACCATTCAAAAAGCAGTTTGCTGGCTACTTTATACAAGCAGGTAAACTAGGGTGTCAACCTGAAACTGTAGTTTCCATTCTAAGGTTTCTTGATTCCACAGGAGGTGCTGTTTCTCTTATTTTCCCCTTTTGGGGGTTGAGAGTCTCTGTACACCAGAAAGTGGCTGCTTATTAGCATATCAGCATCCATAGATCAGTTTTTCACAACATCAACACTACTGACATTTTGAGCCCAATAATTCTTTGTTGTTGGAAGATGTTCTGTACACTGTAGGGTACTTAGCAGCATCCTTGGCATCTACTCCCTGGAAGCCGGTAGCACCCCCCAGTTGTAACAACCAAAATGTCTCCAGGTGTTGCAGGCTATTTCCTGGGGTTTGAAACAGTCCCTGGAGAACCACTACATATAGATATTGATGTATTACTATATATGGATGTAAATAATTAACCACTAATATAGACATTAGAGCATGTTTCTTGAGCAATTTTCCTAGACTTTTCTGGAAAATGAAAATCTGAAAACTTAAAATCTGTAAACTTGAAATCAGTTTTTGAAAAATAGAAAAACAAATATGCTAGATGTAAATTAGAAAATTAGATAAGAACAAGTCCTGGATATTGAAAAGCTAGCTTTCATTGGAAAGAGTATAATAATTCATTCTGAGTCAAGACGTGAAGTAGCCAGTAAGGTGAAAATTTAGAGCCATGCTTTGCAGTAGGACTTTCAGATTCAGGTAATAAACATGAAAAGTACAGAATTCAAAATTAAATGATTTTCTGTTTTTACCTGGGTGAGTGTTTTCAAGGCTAAAAGCACTGATTTATCTCTTGTTTTTTTGTTTGTTTTGTTTTGACTTTGATTCTTTGGATGCTTTTTGTTATACTCAGTTGTTGAGTTTGATTATGAAGGATTTCCTTTTATTTCAGGATTCTTCCATTGAAGAAGAGCTCAGACAGTTGCTGGCTTCTCTACCTCAAACAGAGCTTGATGAGTGTATCCAGTATTTTACATCTTTGGCTCTGAGTGAAAGCAGTCAGAGTCTAGCTGCTCAGAAGGTTAGCTCCTTTCTTCATTCAGTAAATATTTCTGAGGTCCCACTTTTCCAAGATATTGTGCCAGCACCTAGCACTTAGAACTTTAGAATAGTCATTCATCCAGAAACTGAATAAACATACTGTTTCCTGGTTGAATGCCACACACTGGGCTAGGTGTTTGGCATAATGGGGAGACGAGTGAATAAAAAAAGTCATGGAGTGTGTAGGAGAGGTACAGGTTACTTGGAGAGCCCACCTCTCTGTTTAAGAGGCCATTTTAGTAGTTTCCAGTCTTTTTTTTAACAAATGGTTGTTCAGCAATCATTTGTGGTTCTGTTGTGTCCATGAGAGGAGGCGAGCTCATGGTCCTACTACTCCACCATCTTGACTGGAACTCTAAGAGGTCATTGTGAAAAGGCTTCACAGGAAGTACTCTGAAGTTGCATTTTGAAGAATGAAAAGATAGTAATTGACAAAGCTTTAAAATATTACCTCTATGCTGGTGATGCCTAAATTCAGTGTCTTAGAGCCCTGTGTTCTAACCTAGGCTCTAGATTTGAACATTCAGCCCCCTACTTGATGTCTCTACTTGGATATATCATAGGCATCCCAGACTTTACATGCCAAACCCACCCTCCCTCTGCAAAGCTCTTCCTCCTTTAGTCTTTCTCCTTTTAGCAGAGGGCAAAGCATCCACCTAGTTGCTTAAGCTAAAGCCTAGGAATTCTTGATTCCTTCCTTCCCTGTTCTCCTAATCAGGAGTTACTGTGAGCTGTCCCTTCAAATACAGCTTGAATCCATATGTCTTATCATCTTCACTGTAGCCACTTACTCCTGGCCACCATCATCTCTTTTTCACAGTATCCTCTTCTTTCATCTTGGCTTCTATTCTTTCTTTCCTTTTAAAATAATTTTAAATTCCCTTTCAGAGTCTTTTATTGACTTAGTTTACTGGGTTAATTCCTGACTCCCCCTTATGTTAGATTGTGGATTAACATGGGTTAGTCATTAAAAATTTTTTTTTATTTTTAATTTATTTTTATTGAGTTATAGTCCGTTTACAATGTTGTGTCAATTTCTGGTGTACAACACAAGGGTTAGTCATTTTTACTGTGAGTTTAGTTTTAGCCAGATTGATTGTTTTCTTTGGGAGTTGCAAGCACCTCAGATTCTAAATTTATCTCTACAGAGCAGTTTTTATGTTTACTTCTTTTGGATACCCCAGGAGTTCACTGTTACAGGACTAGTTTTTGTATTAATTCCTTAGTTTGGAATTTCTGTCACACATTGGTAGTATAAATTCAGTTACACCTATACATGGCATAGTTTTAGGATTGTCATTTATCTCTCAAAGCCTGAAGCAGAAATAGGCTTCTTGTTGCTTTCATGGGCTGGTGGGCAGAGTTTTTCTAAACTCTCTCATACAGAGGAGGCAGTCTTTCCAGGGTTCTGCCTTTATATAGGGATCTCAAATCTAGCTCCCACAGAATGTGAGACTCAAAACCATACCTCCTGCACTGAACAGGTATTAAAAATCCCATCCTGAGGTGCCTACAGAAATTTTACATCACCCATTGTGTGCTTACCATTTCTGCCGAATATTCTGTTTTCAGTTCTGGCACCCAGGGGATTCCCTTTACTTCTTATTATCTTTAGAGCTTGGCTTTGTTTTAACATTGCTTTTATTATATTTTATTAAACATGTACGTCATAGGAAGGGTTCACCATGTTGACTAAAGAAAAACACTCAACCTGAAAGTTGAGAGTTAAGTTTTATTTGGGAGACCTTACTAAGGACTATAGCCCAGGAGATAGCCTCTCAGATAGCTCTGGGGAACTACTCCAAAGAGGTAAGGGAGAAGCCAGGATATATGTGGTTTTTGCTGGGAAAAAAAACATGTAGTCGAACGTCAAAGATTACTGCTAATCAAAAAAAAAAAAACAACTAGACATCTCGTTAATGATTTTAGTCCTTTTCTACATATGGGAAGATGCAAGAATCTGGGCTGATTGAAATTATTCCTTAAATATACATCTTAGCTATCTAGGGCCAGTATCCAGAGCATAGAATGTTTCCTGTTTTCCTCCATCCTGAATCCCCCCAGGGCTCACAGTGGGTGGAGGGTGCTATGGTGGCTGATGGCTTGATGGAGGGCAACATTTTTGTTTACTGGAATGACAGGCTACATTCTTTGTTTGCAACTAGAAGCCAAGTTTACCATCTTGCTGCATCCAGAAAGCTTCCTTACAATGGTCTCCGTCACTTCTGTGAGCTATAGGCATTGCATCAGCCTCCAAGCTCCAACTTCTCTCTCCAGTTCTATGTCCTCATGGCAGCTGGAGTGATTTTTTTAAGAAACATGAATTAGAGCTCGGTCATACTCCTGCTTAAAGCCCTCCAAATGGCTTCCTGTTTCACGTTAAATGAGCCCTTCACTTTTTGTGATCCCAGCATGTCCTGGCCCTTGTGTACAGAGTGCCTGCCCCCAGAGATGGTGATGAGATTGACAGGAAGGCACCAGTAGCGCAGTTAGAGGGTATGAAGTGTATTTGGTGGCAAAAGGTCTGAAAACTGAAGGAGACCGTGCCATAGGTGAGGAGGGCACAGCAGGCCCCGGCTGTGGTGCAGACTCGTCAGAGTGCTCAGAGTGCTCCATGGGGAAGCCCACGCCTTTGGCGTAAGGCTGCCGTCAGACAGGAAGTCATCCCTTCCGATGGAGGTGTTTACGTTCTCTGCCCAAATCCCCTATTCCTACTGTTTCAGCCATGGCCTGTTCACTGCACCTAAATACCTGGAGTAAAACTAGCCATATACAGCAGAGGGCTTCTAAGTGAATTAAAGCACTGTCCTGGGCACAGCATCCTACACAGACTCCAACTCCGGCCCCCCGAGGGTGGTTACTGAATTCCATTATTCTTGTGGGATCATCTCAGCAGTACTTTTGTCTTCATAAAATATCTCTTACATCATTAGAGAAATCAGAACAAATTACAGTCACTATTACTATAGTAACTATATAACCTACTCAGTGAGGGGAAAGTATTTTATCTGTAAAACAAATCATAGTATTTATTCTATATTCTTTTACCAATTGAATAATTTATCTTTTTCTCACTTCCCTTTTTATGAGAAATTAGGGACACATCAGTAGATACCACTTCTCTAGTGTGCTTTTTATAATTTCCCCTTTGGGCCATGTCTGGGAATGGCTCCAGTGAATTGTAATTATTGTTTTCCTTTTGATGCTCAGAGTGCCATTGCCTGGCTACTGGGGCCTGTTCTTTAGGCTGACCTCATTATCCTTTTTAGAATTCCATCCTCAAGGTGGCTGTGAGAGCACCTTTGTTTTCTGACAGTAGGATGTCCCTGGCTCTTCTTGATTCTTCCTGTCCTGCAACGGGAACCAGCTGCTCCTCCAAGGCATCCTCCTGACTTCTGTCTCCCACTGCTGTCACCACCCCCTTTCCTCATCCCCCTGCCAGAGCTCCTGGTACCTGGCCTGGCGTTCTTATTTTCTGCACAGAAGATTTTCTTCTGCTTATTACTATTCAGGTAACATCCCTCTCCCTTCTGTACTGTTCTATCACCTTCCACTGTGTTTCCTTATCTTTTGCTAAGTGAAGAGAGAGAGTGGTTTAATACACTGTGCCAGTTGTTTTCTAAGCACATCTTTAGTTAATTTAATAGTGAAATAAATATTTAATTTCAATTCTGAGGTCCCATCTCATCAGACCGGTAAGCAACTCCATCTTAGTTATTCTTATTCCCCCACCCCACCCCCACCCCAGTTTCGTCAGGCTCTGGATCTTTTTATATGCCAGGAAGTTGGGGATGAAGGAATAGGAGGGTCATCTGTCTGGTTTTTAGTGATCTGACCAGTTCATGACAAACCTGTCCAGTGATAGTCCCCACGCAGCCGTCAAGTGGAATATGCTGCTTCTGCACAGAACTGCTCACGTGCAGAGGTTCCTCTGGGCCTTAGCCTACAGCCTACAGCCACGTTTGGTTTTGGAACAGGGCTTCTTAACCTTTGTACATCATGGATCTCTTAGAGACTTGGTTAAGTCTATGAATTCGTTTGTAGATGCATAAAATACAGTACATACATGGGAAGCCAACTATATTGAGATTCTGTTATCAGAATTTACAAAGTGTAATATAATTAACATATGTACTTTAATTTCAAACTTAAAAAAGAATTACAACAATACATTTCACTGGGTTTGCCAGTTATTCATATTTTGTCCCTTTTGTTTTATCATTCCCTATTTACTCTTCCTCGTTCTATAGGTATATTTTTATATGTCTATTTATATACTGTTTCTACTTTGAACCATTTGAGAATTAGATGCAGTGTGGATTCTGTGTCACCAGGATGAGACTGTGCAGTTGGCATTCAGAGGAGCGATGAGCAGAATGTTATTTTCAGATAGCTGCGGCAGCTGCGATGTGGTAGGGAGATAGCCGTGTTTTCAGTTGTGGACAGAGTTGCACAGACTGCTCCCGTTACTGTGGCTTACTGTCCATGTCTGTAATTGAATACAATGAAAAATTTGTTAAAGGTTAGGAAAGGAAGGATGTAATTTTTTCCTATCCAAGTTTACATCCTCTCTGTCCTGAATTCTATCTGCCCCAGGCCCTTAAGGATGACCTGGGTTACAAACTCATGCTTTAGAATGAACATTGTTTATGCCCAGTTAGTTTGCACAAATCGCAGAGCTTTAAGGTTGTGACTTTTTATGAAGAAACACTAGAGATTAGCTCTCACATGTACTGATACAAAGGCACTGACAATGAGAAGCCTTAGCAAAACTCCCGTGCCCCCTGCTCCCCACCCGCCCTGGCAGTGGTCTGCCTTCCCTCCTTTTATACTTTTTGTTCCTCAGGAAAACTGGGTCAGTGAGAGCCTAAGGACGCAACCAGGGATGTAGAAGTTTGGACATTTTCAACTGTGATTTCTTTTTGATCTAATGTGGCAAACTGCCTAGAATCAAGAGAACAGTGGATATGGAGCATTGAAATGATTTCCCATCATAAAGCTTTTGTGGTCGTGGCTTAAGGACAATCCAGCTAAAATCTTGCATTTCTAGTATTACCATCTTCTGTAATTTCCAAGAGTCTCTCTGAAATCAGCTTAGCCATTAGGGCCTACTTGTGTTCCCTCTGCCTAGAATGCTCTGCCACCAGAATGTCACATGCCTGCCTCATTCTAGTCCTTCAGATCTCAGCTTGTCAACTCCTCAGAGAGACCTTCCTCTTTATCTCAAATGTTTATTGCCCATCATAGCATATATCCCATTCTGTAATTATTTTATGTATTTATTTGCTTGCTTATTTCTCTTTTTCTCTTCCTTTAATCTCTCCAGTGTCAAACACAGTACCTCAGACACAATATGCTCTCAATAGATATTTATTGAATAATGAATGGATGAATCATGACATTACTAAAAGAGCCAGCTGTGCACAATCTTATACATACTTAAATAACAACTGGCATATTTCTGTTATGAATCAAAGTATTTTTATATGACAGAGACAAAAATAGAGATAACTAAAGGTTATATTTAATTGGAAGGTAGATTATATGGTAAGAAAATATCCATTATGTATTAAATCATTTGGCTGTTATAAACCTTTTGAATGCATTTGAAAAATACCACATTAACTCATAGTAATGCTGTGTCTCAATTTGGGTATCCTAATAGGAAAATGATACATAAAATGCTTTGCTACACACCTATGATTAATATATAATATGGATATAAATTATTTAGTAACTGACTTGATTAGTTCACATTTCCTTTATGCTTTTATTATTGTTGCCTTTTAATTTTTATGCCTTACCCTTTATTATTGTTTTTAACATTGTCAGTCTTTCCACCTTTTCCTGTGGATTTCTTTGATCTTTAAGACATCGTTTTTCAGTTGTGCATATGGAATTTGATGTGTGACATTTCTTAAATCTTTACAAATGTATTTAATCTTACTATATCTTAATCCAGTGATAAAGAAGCAGGGCCCATGTGTATTTATTCTGTGTTAGGAGTTGGAAAATAATCCATATGACCACACCATGGGTTTATACCTTTTAGCCATTCCTTCTGCTTATGCTTGTTACTGCCGCACAGTTTGCCAGTTCATGAACAACTTACAAGCTTTGCCAGCAAGGATGGACTTGGAATTACATTCTTGTATCCCACTTAAAAAATGATCAAGAAAAACGAAAATCCTAGATCCTTTTTCTTTTCCTTCTCCCTGTTCTTTCCTTGGATCATTTAGACTGGAAAGAGGTCAGATGGTTTGACAGTGTGAGGGAAGGAGAGGGATTTGGGAGAGGTTGTGATGGTAAGTTTTTAAGAAAAATTTCCCACCCTCCAGAGCCCACCAGTCCACTCTCTACCCTTTTCTCTGCTAGAGGAGGCAGAGACTTTCAGTGAGTTAGTCCCTTCCCAGTCCTTCACTTGAATAGCGTGAATCTCTGAGATCCAGACGTGTTTAAACTCAGAAAAACAGATTACTACATCAGAGAGGACAGCATGAATAAGAATTAAAGAGTGGCCAAACATTTTGAACGTTACTAAGTTTACTGAACCATAGACCCTATAAATTAACTCAAAATGTAGAAACTTAATGGACTATATTTCCTACAGAAAACACATTTTTGAAAGACACTACCTTGTAGTTGTCTCTTTTGCCAGCAGGTAGTCTATATACACACAGTTATGCCACCTAGTTCAAATATAAAGTGCTTCAAAGAGGAGATACAGTAATAAATCTTCCCTCCATCT